GGCTGAATGTGTCAGACGCTGCAGATGGAAAGGTGCAGGACACCCCATGTGCAACGTCGGCCACACGAGCACCACGGGAGAACAGGACGCCGGGACCTGTAATGTACTGGAATGCACTGGAATGTAAGCAGGCCGACTCCCTGCGTTCAGGTGCGGGAGGGGGTGTGGAACTGTATTGAAGTCAATGGCATCGCCCACAGTGCAATCGCCTGCACTCGGAACGCAGGCACATTAGTGCCTGCATTGCGGTCGAGTGCGATCTGCAAAAATTGTGCTTGCAGCATTTTTGCGGCTCGCCCTGGACTGGAACACAGGCACTAATGCAGGCGATCGCACTGTGGGCGAGGGGCCTGCCTGCGCAGCCCACGCCCCCTCCCGCCCCTGAATGCAGGTGTTTTTTCGTTGGTAGATCTCAATGAGCTCGTCATTTGAAAAGTAGATCTCCAGACGAAAAATAGTGGGCGCCCCTGCTTTACACTATATGCAGCTTGTATCCGGAAAACCTTCACACTTTATGCTGCTATTCAATATTTTCATAACTATTTCATTACCAGGTCAGTAGATTCTCCCTTTCGTGCTTATCCCCATATGTACTGTAGGGAGCAACCCTGTAAAACAACTCCTGGGAAAATATGATAGGCCACATTAAAGTCTAGATTTTCCTTTACTCTGAGAAGACTTGCATGCTGTAAAAATCAAATCGCACTGTGCAGATCAGAAAGCAGAGTGCGCTTACTGTATGCTAGGGATGCATCGATACCGTTTTTTGGTATCGAGTACGAGTACCGATATTTATCCTTCGGTATTCGCCAATACAGCATACCAATACTAGCATGGAGCCGCCTTCCGGAAGCCGGGCGGCGTGTCATTACCTATTGCTGCCTAGCTCCATGCTTCTTGGCCAGCTCGATGCCGATTGGCTGGGAGCCAGACAACCAGCATCGAGCTGGCATCCTGCCCAACCAGGAAGCCGGGAGGAGAGTCATTACCCATCACCCAGCTTCTTGATTGGCCGGGAAGCCGGCTCCATGTTCCTTCGTGGCACTGCTTATCTGACCAGAAGTTCTGGTATCGGGGGTAAGTATCAGAGCATTTGGCTGAGTACTCACCCTGATATTCAGTATCGGCACTGATACTAGTATCGGTGCATCCCTACTGTATGTAATGAACATAGATTAACAAAATAAAATTTTAGCATTATAGAGCACTGGAATATTATGAAAACCGCTGGTGACAATGGTAACCCATCTGTAAAGCAGAGTTTGGTCTGTCATTTGTGCTGAGGTTATAACCATCGGCGATAAGACCAAGCAGACAAAAGACAAAATAATGAATTTACCTGCGCGTAGGAAATCTCTACCCAAAAGGAGAATTCTCCAACATACAAGCAAACCTCTTCCATAGGCAGAAATTGGGAACACAACGGACAGAAGGCTTTAGTACCTGTGCTCTTGACAGATGCAATCCAAGTGTATAAATTATTTCTTCTAAGTCCTTCTCCATTAAGTAACCACAATGACTTTGATCAAAATATACAAATGCCATCAGAAGATCCTTATTTACGGTAACCATCTGCTTCTTTTCTTTCTCCTGGAAAAAAAAGAAGTCACAAAAAAGGTTTAATTCATCAAGAATGCCAAAACACTGTCATTTTTAAACCAAGTATGGCCTTTTGAGCCTGAATGAGCTTTATATCGATTTCATACAATAGACATTTGAATGTTAAAGTGACATTAAACCCTCAGATTTTTTAACATAAAACAATACTGTAATGTGCGCCTTACTGTAATCCATGGTTGTTTCCCTTCTCTTTGCTGCTCTTCCTTTTAAATCCGCATCTCTTCTCATGCTCTGCAGAACTTCTGTTTTGCAGCAGACTGCCTTGTCTCAGGAATGGATACGGGGTGTCTGTGTATCCGTTTCTATAGGCTTGTAATCTGAGCCAGCACTACAGGAAGAGGCCCTGAGCTGAAAAGGGAAGTTCTCACCAAGCATGAGGAGACATGAGGATTTAAAAGGAAGAGCAGCAAAGAGAAGGGAAACAACCATGGATTACAGCAAGGCGCACATTACAGTATTGGTTTATGTTAAAAAATCTGAGGGTTTAATGTCACTTTAAGTATATGTTAGAAGTTTAGACCAAGTTGCAAACACAGAGGCAGAAGTCCCCAAGCAGGGAGTTAAATTGTGTTATTACATAATAGGAGTTCGGAAACATGCACGATCTGCTGGCTGTTTGGAATTACAAGTGACTATAGTGAACAATAGTGATAAAAGCACCGTACTATCTTCACCGTTGCCATACCACAACAAATAAAATACATCTTCAAGGGCTAGAAATGATCTCAGTCATAAGACAACTTAAACCAGTACTAGCACAGTAGCTCAGCCAGGTCTTCCTAAACCAATCTACAGTGTAGTTTATGACCACATCATCGACTTTCTCATACAGCTTTGCATTTGCTCTTTACTTAACTGGCTCAAAGAAGAGATCAGCAAATTTCTGCTTGATAATGATATGAATTCAAAACTTGGACATTTGAAGGCAGAGACTTCGAGAGGTATAATACAAAAGGTGAAAATGTAATGAAACTTGTCAAAAGAGAAATCCTAAAGGCTGCTATTGCTCACCTCCCATGAAAATCCTATTGTCCTGGTTCTCATGCTAAAGCTACTGCTCCAAGTCAAAATTATTTAAACAATTGCTAGCAGGACAGCTTTTACTGCAGAAGAAACTCCCCATGTCTCTTCTGCAATGAAAGAGTATTACCCACCTGCTAGCAAGTGCCTAAAGAATGTGCACAGAGCTATGTATGCAACATTCTCAGCATGCCTTGGTGTTGGGGTAAATTAACCCCTGTGCATAGAAGTTGCATCATCCTGGACCAAGCGGCGAAGTCAGCAGAAATAAGGGAACACTGATGTTGAGGTAAGTGATGCAGACTTTAGTTACACTTCAAGTCATTTACCCGGAGTTAGAATGCAGATAAGGACTTGTGACCTCCTGCCATCCATGCCTCTCTACTGGTTAGTGAGGATATCTACTGGAAGGATTAACCAATTGTACCTATGCAACGTTTGCTCTTTCTGCCTCCTGTATTACCAATCCCAGTTACATTTCCATGTCAGCTCTTAGCCTGATTAGGAGCTATGGGAAAACTCTTAGTACTGACTTCTTTCTGCATGGGAGAGATGTAGGAGTCTGCAGTGGATGTGTTTAGGTGCAGCTCTCCGGAACCTCAAGCACTAGGTGTAGTTAGAGTGGGGTAGACTGGTGCAATATATTAATGCCTGGATGAATAAATGATGTACTGACCTGGTAGGCTAAACCCCCCTCCCTGCATGCAATACAAGGTTTATTTTAGAGCTGCAGCTAACAATTATTTTCATAATCGATTAGTTAGACGATTATTACGTTCGATTAATCGGTTAATCGGATAAAAAACCTCCCCTCCCCGCCTCTGCAGCAGCCTATCCTTGTGTTATCACACTGTATACAATTGAATAGACCTGAAGACGCTGAGGAAAAATTACATCTGTGCAGAGGAGAAACTTCAGTGACCAAGGAAGCAGGGAGTCGGCTTGGTAGTTCGGGTGAATACATTTTTTTTTTAGCACCTAGACACAAAGGAGCAGTTACCCTTGCAAAGCAAGGGTAGTCCCACTGCAAGGGGTTTTAAATAGGGCTGCGGAAATTAACGATGAATTACCCGATTAATCGTTAACATTTTTGATTGATTAATTTTCACTTTTGACTGGAATGCATCTTTGGACAACACACTGGAAATAAGTATATAAATGAAAAGGTTATTAGCAACATGCAGATTTTTGGGAGTAGGTTATATACACCAAGTGCTACAAAAAAGCATCTAATGTTATAAAGAGCTACATAAATTAATTCAATGCTACAGACTGTAAATCACATACCTTATCTTTGGCTAGACACTCCTTGCTGTATCGGTTTTCCCTCTTGTCTTCACGTTTATCCTTGGTGCTGGAGTCGTCATCATCTTCTTCCCTGTCTTTGATAAAGAAAGATGACATTTGCGTTCAACGTATATTTTATGTGTACTGGATCATGGTATTAAGGTGAATATATAATACACTGTATTGAGGATCTAAGGGCTTATCCAATAAGGTAGAGCAAAGAGTTCCCATACCAACTAAAGTGAACAATTCTAACCAAGCTGAACTAAGCATACTAAACTGAAATCTGGTTGGTTGTTACAGGTTACTGGACTCTGAATGTCGCTGCTGCTCTTTGCACTGCCTGAAAAAGCTCAAGCTAATACACAAGTGGAAACATAGTGCTATGAAAAGAACTCCAGGGAACAAATGCATTAACCCTTGCCATGGGGCTACCCCTGCAATGCAAGGGTTAGTTGCTCATTTGTTTCTAGGTGCTAAAAAAAAAAAAAAAAAGTTATACTCACCCAAACCTCGAAGCTGGCTGTCTGCTACCCGTTTTTCTGGTCACTGGTCTCTCCTTCTCCGCTGCAGCGATGGTATGTCCCCCTGTGTCCTCTGCAGTGGAGGAGGAGAGAGGCTCCATAGAAGCAAGCCGGCTCCGAGGACCAGGTGAGTATAACTATTGTTTTTAGCACCTAGAAAAAAAATTAGTACTTAACCCTTGCAGTGCAGGAGTAGCTCCATTGCAAGGGTTAAGAATTTTTTTCATGTATCTTTGCTTTAATATATTCAAAGGTTTCAATCATGCCCCCCTTTCTCCTCCCTTCAGTCTAAACGATGAATTACCCGATTAATCGTTAACATTTTTGATTGATTCAAATTCTTTTGATCAATCATGAAAACACTTACCTCTCCGCCGGCTTCCGGGTGTCCCGTCGGAGATCCGGTGACGTCACGGACATTGACGTCACCGGACTCCTTCCACAAGTTGCTCTGTCAGCTAACAAAGGGAAGGGGGGAGGAGTCCGGTGACGTTGATGTCCGTGACGTCCTCCCCCTTCCCTTTGTTAGCCGACTGAGCCACGTGGACCAGTGATCTGTCGACACTTATCGAGTTCTGCGACCGCCTAACTTCCGGTTTCGTTCCAACTAAGAGGTTTGCCCAAGAAACTTTCGGCACGAGCGCCAGCCAAGGCATGGGCCTATACACATACAGCACAGCAATGAAGTAATAAAATGAACTAGGATCACACTAATCCAGCACGTTATTAATCTCACGTGCCCCACTCAAGCGGCGGCCATATTGAGTGGGGCACGTGACATTAATAACATGCTGGATTAGTGTGATCCTAGTTCATTTTATTACTTCATTGCTGTGCTGTATGTGTATAGGCCAATGTAGTTGGATCTGTATGTGCGTTATAATTAAAATTAATCGATTAAAAAAAATTTCGATTAATCGAACACGAAAATTCTAATCAGTAACAGCCCTAGTTTTAAAGACTTTTCCTTGGAGTTGTTCTTTACACAAGTCAGCCTCTGTGCCCTAAGAAATAGCTTGAAGTAAAGCAAGGAAACCAGGAGAAAATATAGAGCAGCTGCCCATAACAGGAAGATTCAGTTCTGTTTTGCTTACACTTTCATTGCTCCACTTATCAAAAATTAGCTCCATTGTTGCTAAACTTCTGCAGAGTCACATATTTCTCAGATCCACATGCATACACAATGGTACGATTATATGGTAGGAGCACTAGATAGAAAGATATTCATTCAAGAAGTTTCACAAAACATGCGAATCAGTTAAAAAAGCAGCTGAAAATGAAATGAAATGAAATGAAATGAAATGAAATATCATATAAGTGCTGTTCCCACAAAAGCTAAAAAATTCACGTTAAAAAAAGGAGAACTATGGGGTTAAGGCTTTTCCCCATAGCTCTCCTTAGGGTAACGGGAGGACACAAACTAGCGTCCTCCCGTCACCCTAGGCTCAGTATAACGCGAGCTGTAGCTCGCGGTATACTGAGGCGCCGCAGCTGAAGCCGATCCTGACAATTATGTCTGCATCTGCCCAGCTGCGTGAGTGACAGCTGGCTTTGCCTATCTAGAGGCAGAGCCAGCTGTACCCGCCCCCTCCCCGTCCGTTCCACCAGTCAGCGCTGGCGGATCGGAGCAGGGAGGGGGGAATCCAGCCCCTCCCCTGTCACGGCAGAGAGCTGTGACAGGATCGAGAAGTGAGCGAACGCCGGTATGTGTTCCCTCACCTCCCAATCTACTGAGCCGACCTGTGACAGTCTCATTGTCAGTCTCATTGTCACAGGTCGGCTAGAACTATGAGGCGAGTGAAAAGCACTCTTAGTTCTCCTTTAAAAGGAAATCTAATGTCCTTTTTCTGAAAAGCCTATTTGCCTAGCAGCAATGCTGATGCAACAGTTTAAATTCTGACTTATTAACCAAAATGAATTGCTATCAAGGTCCTGATCTAAATATGTGTTCTAGGTCAGTAACGAAAAGTACTGAAACCAGCATGAGAAGCCGCTAGAATTTGAAAAGGAGACGTCAGCATTGGCAGCCTATGTATTTTGCTTAAGCAAAGCTGTTTAAAGAGAACCTGACACTACTGTGTTTGTTAGATAAATATTGCAGTTGGACAGGTTTGCTTTAAAACTGAACTGTGATGATCATGAAGTTTTTAATTTAGATTGAATTAGCATCAGAAGGTGAAATCTCCTCTGTTAGCAGTGTACAGAGACCTTACTAGCTCAATCTCTCCTATCAGCTGCAGGGGTCTGCAGAGATCTTTAATTTTAAGACAGCTGTCAGTCTCATAATTCTTAAGGTGCCCATACACCTTTCGTTTATTGAACGATAATGGCATGAGATCGAGTTTTTGTACGATAATCGGCAAGTTGATGGGAAGTGAACGTTTAGAATAACTACTTCTGGCCGAATTTCATCTAAAAATCAGGCAGGCTAGAAAACTTTTTTCGAATTGTAAAATAAAATATCGATGGATTAGTGGCGTTTTCGTCCGAAAAAAAATAAAATAAAAAATCACAACACGAACTCTACAAATGCACAAACGAAAATTTGTTTTGTCGATCTACGAAATTAGGTCAGTTAGTATTGCTAACGAACGATAATTGAAATCCACATTGGTCTGTGCACGATGGGGTATTTGAGTGGAAACCGAACAAGGGTTCAATGACGGGAAAAAAAAGAGATCGAACGATAATTGTAAGGTGTATGGCCACTGTAACAGTCTGTTAAGGTGCCCATACACCTTACAATTATCTGCAGATTTTCTGTGGTCAGATGGATGAAGTGCAACAGATTGGCCCAGGTGGAGATTGCTCCATCCACACAGTTAAGTGTAGTTGGAGGAATCTGTTGCACCTTTTCCATCTGACCACAGAAAATCTGCAGATAATTGTAAGGTGTATGGCCAGCTTTAGAGATCACATTAATGACCCTTCTTCAGCTATGCTTCCACTTCTAGAGAAGATAAAAGAAGTGAATCCTCTGTCATGGTCTGCTTTGTTCCACTGAAGCTTTGACAAAATATTGATAGGTGATTAGTGAAGGGGCACAGCAGGTGACGCATCTGCTATCACAATGTACAGAGGCAACAAAGCAAGGCGACAGAGCAGACGTGGCCTCCAATGGCAGAACGAGGCAACTGCCGATCAGTGAAGTAGGGTGGGGGCAGGCAGAAAACATCCTACCCCTTGATCTGGTGAGGACCTCCTAGTTAGGTAGCAATGACATCACACTGCCTGCATAGAACTTCTAGAGGCAGTGGGGTGACAGCGAGGCCACCCACAGGCAGCCTGCTGGGGTGACTGGTTGCCATAACAGGATGTACCTTGCTGCTGGGCAAGTTCCAGCCCTGCTTTTTCCTTCTTATTACAAGCATAAACAACAGATACAGCAAAAACACAGTCCAGCTTAAAGCAGGTTTTACATGCAGGTACACATTTATTTATTTGCCTGGAGGATGTCAGCAATGCAAGTATCTGGACTTGTTCTACAATCTGTCCAAGTTTCTATGCTTCTTAAAACCAAGTGAACCAGAAGCATGGGATTAAGAAAGACATAATACCAATTCTGACGCTTATCGTTTGCCTGTTATTAGAACAGAAATAATGCTTCTATTGCTTACAAGGTCCAAAACATTACTGAATAACATATGTAAGTAATGAGCAGAGTACCAGCATTAAAGTTCCTCAGTCATACAAACCTTCATAGTCACCGTCGTCTTCTTCTGCTCCAATGGGCTCATAATCCTCTTGGGTGTCATCATCTATTTCTTCATCATCTCTGTAATCGTCTCTCTTTCTGTCATCCTTCTGCAATAAGAGAACATTATGCTTAGGAACCATATTGAGTTTACATAAAAACACAGCGCAATAAGAAATGCAAATGGCAAGCTGCAGCAACCAAGAACTATTCTTGGCATCAAAAGATCTACAGTTTGGTATTTACGCAAAATCCAAATATATCAATACAAATTGGGAATTCACACAAACTGGTTGCTACACTTCTATGGAACAGAAAAAGTGTTGTCTAGAAAAGTACTAAAGTCATTGTGCACCTCAGGGATGAATCAATGTGTACAGTAAATTAATGTTTCACAAACTGCGATCATTGTGGTGATATCAGGCAGTTCACAAAATCGCATTACATGATGGTTAGTGATGAGCAGGCAGCTAGTGTACAGTTTTCCAGCCCATAGTAGGCTGCACATTGCTGCTGAAACGCTTACATCTTGCCTTAGGTGAACATCCAAACTGTAAAACACAAACCTTTCGATCATCTTTTTCTTCCGATCTTAGTTTTTCGTCTGAAGATTTTCTACGTTTAAGTTTGGGTTCTTCGTCATCATCTTTGTCATCTTTCTTGTCTCTCTTCTCTTCCTTCTTAATCTTTTTGTCCCTCTTCTCTTCTTTCTCAGGGAGGGTTATAAGCTCCTTATATATCCGCACCCCAAAGTCTCTCTGGAGCATTTCATTGAATAACTCTGCAAATAGAGACACCTGATGGGAAAACAAACAGGACAGGTTGGGGGACTTGTAGTTTTAGCATTTGATAGACCTGGAAATTCACACAATAGTTTGCACATTTACTTTTCTCCCACATAAATGTTAAGGTGCAAAAAGCAATGGAGTTCTGCTCAGATACAGTATAATATACACGGAATACAATACTTTCAAACTTTTATATATAAATGGTGTGGTCAGAAGTAAAAATGGGGGCAGATTTGCCATCAAGTCTGTGCCCTCACAATTAGGGTGTGTGAAGATTCTGCATGCTCATACAAGTTTATGCAAATGTAAAATCCTGCTTAAAGCAGGTCAAAATGAGATCACAAGGAGGTCAAATGCACCTGTCAATGAATTCTAAATGATCTTAGAAGCATCTCAAGCCATTGACACTAGCCCTTATGTGGCTGTCCATTCCATGACAAATAGGAGGGGTATTCCTTTGATTTAATACTGGTCACTAAAGTGAACATCAGTACATATTATTACCAATCAATGTAAATGTCACTAAATATAAGCACAAGTGCAAAGGTTTAGAGGAATTAAATGAGAACTATGGGGTTAAGGCTTTTCCCCATAGTTTTCCTTAGGGTAACGGGAGGACACAAACTAGCGTCCTCCCCTCACCCTAGGCCCAGTATACCACGAGCTGTAGCACGCGGTATACTGAGACGCTGCAGCTGAAGCGGATCCCGACAATTATGTCTGGATCCACCCAGCTGCGTGACTGACAGCTGGCTCTGCCTATCTAGAGGCAGAGCCAACTGTACCTGCCCCCTCCCCCGTCCGTTCCGCCAGTCAGCGCTGGCGGAGCGGGGAGGGGGGAATCCAGCCCCTCCCCTGTCACGGCATAGAGCCGTGACAGGATCGAGAGGTGAGCGAACGCCGGTATGTGTTCGCTCACCTCCCGATCTACTTAGCTGACCTGTGACAGTCTCATTGTCACAGGTCGGCTAGAACTATGAGGTGAGTGAAAAGCACTCACCTCATAGTTCTCCTTTAAGAAGCGTTACTTGCATTTCTATAAACTATTAGGCCCGATTCCTACATACAATGAACCACATGTGCTCGTTTGACAGCCTCCATTGAGCTGTATAAGTATGGAGTGGTTGTTTACACACAATGCAACTCGGCACTGCACCAATCATCAGAAGGTATGAGCAAAAGTAAAAAGGCCCGATTCCGACAGAAAAGGCCAGATTCCGACAGAAAAGACCAGATTCCGACAGAAAAGACCAGATTCCGACAGAAAAGGCCAGATTCCGACAGAAAAGGCCAGATTCCGACAGAAAAGGCCAGATTCCGACATACAAATGTACCACGTGCTCGTTTGACAGCCTCCACTGAGCTGTATGAGCATGGAGAGGTTGTTCACACACAATGAAACTCGGCACTGCACCAATCATCAGAAGGTATGAGCAAAAGTAAAAATTGGTTTAATTGTAGCCCCCCCCTCCTCCTGCCACAAAGCACAATCATTTTACAATACATACCTCAAATGAGTGCTCCTTATTGTCCTCTATCCTGTAATCCAACAGGACGCTTAGAGACATGATGCTACAGTCAAACTTCCCATTTTTTGCTGACCAGTTTGGATGTACAATAATTGCTGGTTCTTCAGGTAAGATATATCTCTTCTCTCTTCTCTGACGCTCCATTTCCTCCTGACGTTTTCGCTCCTCTTCCTAGTGACAGAAACGTCGCGTTCAGGTGTTGCAATTAAATACAGGTAGCAATTTTGTGTAAGATTGGGGATTAAACAGGATATAAAAACCTCTTTATCGTCCTCAGATTTCCGCTCTTCCTCCTCCTCCTCATCTTTTTCACACTTTTCTTGCTCCTTCTGCTCCTCTTTTTGTTCTTCAACACGAAGCTGCTTTGTTAATCGAGCAATCAACTGAGATTTTAATCCTTTGGAACCAAGAGTTCGACTTTCTAACTCTTTGCGCAAATCATTTACCTGTCCAAAAGATTGTCATACAAAGAAAATCACACTGCACATGGTGGCATTTGAAAGTACCTTCCTTAATGTAAAAACATAAATAAAAATGTCCTATTTATTTAGGGAGCCTCCGGTGCCGTAGTGCCCGCTACATACAAAGACCCACTCCATCATTCTGACAAGGAGCCAAGAAAAGTCCAACATCATTTAAAATTCTGGTTTAACCAGTTGACATCCGCGGTGTTAAACCCCCTTCCCATCCAGGCCATTTTTCAGTGTTCAGCGCTGCGGTACTTTGACTGACATTTATTCCGTCATGCAACGCTGTACTGAAATGAATTTTATACCCTTTTTTGGGGACAGATAGAGCTTTCTTTTGGTGGTATTTATTCACCACTGGGGGTTTTATTTTTTACTATATTAAAAAGGAAAAATTACCGAAATGTAAAAAAAAAAAAAAGTTTCCCCTATATTAAAGGATAAAACATTTATTATTACCCAATTTTTTGGTAAAATATAAAAGACGGGGTCACGTCAGGTAAAAAGACGCCAAACATGTCAAGTCTTAAAATTGCGTGCGCGCGCGACACCTCAAAAAACGATAATACCCAAAATTGGCCCAGTTCTCTAGCTGCTGTAGTTTTCAGTTTAGATTATTGAACAGCAGGGCCTGTTACTCACGTGAGTGTAGAATATATTTTATTGCCTGTATTTAACCTAAAGAAACTTCCTTTAAAGTGCAAGACCATCCAAAACCAATATCCGCGTACTGGGTGGATACTGGTTATTTGAATCTCCATGTAGCCCAACGGCCCAGCCATTACAATTCCAGTGGATTCTACATTTATTTCACATTATTAACAATACAGTAGGAGGAGAGAGATCTTGCTTGTGAGAGTAATTTCCCAGGGAGCTGAGAGAGGGACACCACAAGGTGATCTTACCAGTGCACTGAAGCTGAACGCCAAGCAGAAGTGCCACAAACTAATGAAGCTTTGTATTTATGGAAGCATTTCTTATAGTGCAAGTACCTGAATTTGACTTATCTGCCTCTTGCATTCCCTTATACAAAAGCACTCAGACTGGAAGAGAGCAGCAGGATTAGGAGCCAATCATATGTGTTATGTGAAAAAAGTGTGTGTGTGTACAAGTAACATGCTCATAGGAGAAATGAGCAAAGGATGACCAATCTGTTGCTGCTCTTTCATGGTCCAGTCAGTAGGCTGGGGGTGGAGTGAGGATACCACTGTACTCCCTTAAACGGACCTTTCATGCAAACAGAAGGTCTACTTCTTTGCGAACCCCTAATTGCTCAAACAAATAAGCTGTAAATAAAATATTTACAATTAAGATTGCACAAGAAAAACTACTTCTCTCGGTCTCAGCTGCCAGGAGGTGCATGCAACATCACCACCCCTTACGTCTTCCTCTTGGCCACCCAAAATCTGTGAGCATGCATTGATGCCATGGGCTGGAATGCATTCGCACAGAATTTCAAGTGCCCAGCTATCCAGGAGCCAGCGGTAAGGCGTCCATGTCTCCTGGAAGCCAGGACCAAGATTTTATTTTTGGCTAAATCTTTTTTTTTTTTAAAGCTTTTGTTACTGTTA